CTGCTTTAAAGATTTTGTTTCTAGATACAAAACTTTAATTTATAAGGCTTATTATAATTATTAATTTTATAATTAGTAATTATAAAATTATTTCTAGAAATTAAACAATAATATTTTAAAGTTAAAAAGCTGTAATGGATATAATGGGAAACCATTTTGTATGACAGTAAGTCACCTATAATAGTGGTGTAAAGAACATAAACAACACAATGATATGTTCAGGAAATCCTGTATCTTCATGTGTTGCCTTTCATAACAGAACTGTAAGCAGTCATTTTTCAGCAAGATAATGCCTGACCACACAATTAGCATTTCCCAGTAATGTTTTTGTTACTTTACCAAACTTTGTTGGCCTTCCTGGTTTCAAAATTTGTCACCCATTGAGTATTTATAGAATAAGATGGGATACCCGCTTTGGCCATTTATGAATGTAAGGGATCTGAAGTGGCAGCTGCAGTATCTGTAGCAGGATAGCACATGGTGACTGTATGCTTTCATATTCAACTTTATTGCTGTATGTGTCTAGGTAAAAGGAAGTCCTACAAGGTCCTAAGGGTTGCTTTAAATTGTACTACTGATCTATAGAAAATTGTTCCTTTGCTATGACATTGCAATCACTTATTACTAATATCATTTCATTCACACTAATAAATTTTATTTAATTCCAACACCACCTTGGAATTTTTTTTATCAATAATTTTTAGTAAATATTAGCATATTTTATGAAGTAAAATATTTTATAAATGATCCGAAGTAAGTTTAAAATTCACTTTCTTTTTCCCCCTCACAATTTAGTTCCGTCCTAACAAGTGCAAGAGGGGTATAATAATTCATTTTCACGTTTTTAACTTTACTATTGGGGATTATACATATTCTATATAGAGAAGGGAGTGAGAGTGTTAGCTTTAAAAATCGGATACGCTTGAAGAAACGGGGTAGAGAGAGAAGGAAAAAAAAAAAAAAGTCGACCCTCTAAACCTGCACATATCGCATTACCATTCATTCATACATCGTCAAAACGGGGTACATAGCTTGGTTGTGTAGCGTGCCAATAGATGGCGCATTCGGCAGTCATCTGTCATGTGACCTAAAGTATCATCCTGTCAAAGCTTGGTGTGTAAAAAGTCAGAAAATTCGACTTCTCCCTCCCTCCCCCATTTTGAAAGGGACTAGAAATTAATGAAAATGGTGCCTTTAGAGCTGAATTCTCGGACTTAATTTAACGGTAACAAGCGTAACAAGTGATGTTAGGTGATTTTTGGGGAAGAATTATATCCCCGAACTAATGTATAGTAGGCAATAAAAGATATTTCTTACTTAACTTACCCTAGACGTGACAAGGAATGAAGTGATTCAGGTGTGGGTGTTAAATGAACGTGTTTCCACCCATAACTCTAAAAGTGTTTTCATCCCACCCAACAAACCTCTAAGTTCAACATTTTAGAATTAACTGCTTTCTTTTGTTTGACATCATACTGACATTATGCCCATTGAACAAAAGAAAAACATAGAAGAAGAAGGGAAAAAAAAACACATATACACACAAGAGAAAGAGACCACAACACAAGAAAGTCTAAGGTATTAAAATATATCTTATTTATCACGAAAAATAAATTTAATTATACACGAAAAGATAATCTTTTCAAACATCATTGGTCGTGCTGTTGACTGGGATTTAAGCGAGTTGTAATTACTGCGTCCTTGGGTCAGTAGAGTAGTGGTATATTTGGGCGTCCATTGTTATACAGAGATAAGTGGCGTAGGCGGGATGTTATCTCTCCCCACTCCTCTCATAGCTTTGCTGTGTGTCTGGGTTCCTAGGTTACACGACAACCATCATATCCCTAGTCAGCTGCCAGCTTGGGTACAGTTGGTCGATGGTGCAGAGAACTGGGAAATGGGCGTTAGAGGCACCAACAAATGGGACGAGAATTAACTTGGTTTACACGACTATACTTGAATGTCTATTCGTTATTTTTTAATGCAAAACCTCGAACGGATGTGGTTATGGGTTTCTTTTATTGATTTCCGTTTTAATTAGATTAACCGTAAACATAAATTGTAATTTACATAGAATCCATTTCTTCTTTATTTTTTTTATTTCATTGTTAAAAACGTAACAATATAATTTTTTTTCTCTTTCATTTTCATTCGTTAAAAATGATCGCTTAACGTATTATTGAAATTTACAGTTTTTTCTTTTTTTAAATATTTAAATTCAAATTTAACGAACTTGTTATTGCTGGAAAGCAAACAAAGAAATTTAAAGGGTTATTTTTTTAAAATAAAAATTTAATAATAATTATATAGATTCGATTGAACTAAACTGATTTATGCAGGTGTGAGTGACAAGACCTCTCATTACTGCGAAAAGAGCTTCCTTCTTTGGAATTCTTTCTCAAGTCACCCGTGAAAGTTATTTCACAATCGTCTCTCTCAATAACCACAGCTTCTCACTTGTTTTGATGTAGGCATATCTATTTACGCGATTTTATGGCATACCTAATCGGTCTCTTACCTTTTATTAGTATACTCGACACGGGTTAATCGGGGTGCGTAAGTTTAAAACATTCTCCACACCTTGTACACGGGGGCGCGTGGTAGATCACGTATTTTAACTTGTCTGATTTTTCCTTATTTGTATCTCACAGTTTAACTGGTATATTTCAAAATAGTCTTTTCTTCTTTCAAGTGCTAATTTTCAATAGAATGGATACTATATCCCTCTATTTTACTCTTAGTTGCTTTTTTTAATGCTTTGTTCTTGCCGCAGACAAGCTTATCTCCTTTCACTGATACAAAGGAGTGTTGTCTATTAGAAAACAAAATGTAGACATACAATAGCTTAACAGTAACTAAGAGGAGTGACAGTTAAATTTATAAATCTTTCAAAAATCTTTATGGGTCCAGACATTCATCCTTTTTTATGACCCAAACAGAAGAATAAAACGTATAGAAGAATATCATTAAAGTGGATTTTTATTTATTAATCGAATTAAATGATAAATGGATGTTAAATTACCTTACATCTTATTGAAACGATAAAAAAAAAATATATATATATATGATTATATTTGCAATTTATGATGATATACATCGATAATTCTATAATACACACGAACGTCTTTCTCCTTTTCTACATCATTAAGATAAAGACTAGTTTTATTATTGCCTTAGTTTTATGAGAACTTACTGACAAGAAATAAATCTTAAGATTATAATTAAAAAAACTAAACACGTAAAAATAGAATTTTTAATACAGAAAATCCTATGTAGACAATTACCATCACAGGTGTATAAGTCAAGTCACTGCACTAGTTTTTAAATCGTACGACCCGATAAACAATATCATCTAAGTTATAATTAGAGGAGAGAAGAAAAAATAGTAATAATTTAATAAATAATTAATGATCTGATAATGGTTCNTGTGTGTATGGATGTGTGTATGTGTATATGTATATATGAATTTTGACATTCACTATTTAAAGACTGGACTGGTTGTTGACAGTCTACACTCTACAGCACAGCACCTGTTGTTCCAACGAGTTCATGTACCTCATTTTCTATTCCCTAGTCACTCCACCTGCACTAAAGACGACAAAAGCAGCCTGCGGCTAAAATAGTGTATTTTTCTCATAATTATAAGAGCTAGAAAGTGTCAGGAGTCGATAATTATGTGGGGAATATCAGAGGTTTTTAATTCGTAAACTTCTATCATCATCATCATCACGAACTTCTGTATTGTACTGTACATAAAGAGCGTGCAACGTGTGTTACGTATTCTACGAAATTTATTAGTTTTTTTTTCTTCTTTATTTATTTTTTTAATTGCGATGTAAATTAAACGATCCTATGTTGTGAATAATACGTCCTTCATTGTCGCCTTAACTAACTACAATTAGGGTTAATTTGTTCATAAAGCAAACAATTCCGATTGTAGTCATTGATGTAGGACCCTGACGACCTCGCCTAGCCACTAGAGTAGGGGTTCTTCCGAGCACAATGAAAGTAGGCCACATTTAGAAGTGGCAAACAAAAGAAAAATCGACATCTTAATTGCTATAGAGGAAGGTTACATTAGGATCGAGAGTGAAGACGTAATTATGAAACATACTCTATGCCACAATAGGAAACTATTATATACATGTGATGTGATCTTCTATTTTTATTATTATTTTTTTAAAGTCTATATTGAAATTTTTCTCGTTTTTATATTAAAATTAGTACGTAACATACTCTAATTATACACAGTATTTAATTTATGGTATAGGTTATATAAGAGACTTTTATTACTGTTACTAAAATTACTGTTACCTCTTAAAAAATATTTTTGGAAGATGGAAATAAAATATTTTTTTTTAAAATAATTTTGACATTTTTATAATCTGTATATTTTAAATTTTAATTATTTATGCTTCTAGAATGGTTAAGTTACGCTTGTTACGTATAAAACAACGTTGACGTAACTGAGGATGGAGTTTAGCGTCGTTTCTACCAATGATAAGTTAGTTGTTATTTATGCTGCATTCTAATAAATCTTGTATTAAATTTGAATGGATTTCTATCAAAACAACAGGCTTTTGTAGAATAAACACAAAAAAATTTAGGCCCAAATTATCAGGTTTTTTTTTTCGTGCTAACAGCTATGGAAAGTTGAAGATTTCTTATTAAGTATGTAGATTTATTTATTCATTTAAATGCTTAACATAAATTTTATCGATTTTTTTAATTAATTTTTAAAATATATAGGCCTATTTTTAATTATCTATTATTTTCTAGTATGGAAATTATTGTTTTGAGTCGAGGTTTTAAGATCTATTTATTTAAAAATTAGTTAATTATATCGATATTTATAATATAAATTATCTTATAATGTTAAATTTATAATGTTTTAATACGTTTTCGTAATTAATAATTACATATTAATCATTTATAGCATTGCCAAATCTCTATAGGTTACTAGTAAGTGAAGCCAAATTTTTTGAATATTTTCCTTAGTTTTTCTTTAAGGAGTGCTCAAATAAGTATTTATTATTATTGGCACATGTTCAATTTATGCTAAAAGCCAATGATACAATCATTCTCAACAGTTCATTATTCGAGGGGTTGTTAAAACGAAAAAAAAATCACATAGACTCTATGCTGCATATCGTGCCATTCATAGACATACACTAGATAATCTAATAAGATTTAAATATAATTATAACCAATACAGGATTTCCCAGATGAAATTTCCCATCTAACATAACGATTAGCTATCAAATACAACATCCTTAAACACACACATTTATATGTAACGAATGCAGGCTCTTCTTTAGATCAAACCCTTCCTTCCTCTGTGTCTGACTATTGATTAACATAAAACCAATGTTTCCTCCTCTATCCGTATCAATTAGGAATTTGAATAATTAAAGAAAAACAACAGATCAGTTAACATGTAATGCGAGAAAAATCACATTTTTTCTATGTGAAAAACCATTAATTCCGCTACTAATAAGCAACCAAGCATGATGTGTAGCAGGTGCCCAATGTGTTCAGCGTGTAGAGAATACTGTGGGAATCGTTGTACCTTTTTTGTAGCTATTGATATTCCACCCCATCGTTATGTATAAAGTTCGACAGCTGTAACATATCCCCCTTTAGAGGATGATCACAAAGCAGAAAATTGACATTTCTCGGCATATTTAAAAAACCCAAATCGATTTTCACATCGTATAAATCGAGAAAAATGTATATGTATATATATATAAAGTGTACTGTATAAAACTTTAAATTCCACTTTATCTAAGATTAAGTTATAAACAAAAATAATAGAAACTAATTAGTGTGTGTTTGTGTGTGAAAGTATGGTTATCAGTTAAGGACACACCACAAACACCAAAACAACAGGAATTAGTGGTGTTACCCTATCTCGAAAGTGTCAGAAGTTGATATATGTTAGCGGTCAGTGTATCTAGAAATATTCCCCCAAACATCATTTTCGAGTGAGGGGTGATGACACGTCAAACTTCTACTGACTCAGCATTAACTCTCATACACTAACTGTTAGATCTGGCGCGACCTCTATTTCCTTCCGTTTTGTGAAACCTGCAGTAGAGAGATAAGGACTAGCCTCGTACCCAGGGCATATCGACGCACCCTGGCGTGGCCTAAGGGCATTGCGAGAACTAATTTGAATATAATGTACACCCATAGCGTGATGCTTATATAGGTTGGCATGATGACCTCAAAGTCTAGTAATGTTGTGATGCTCCTAGCATAATAGTGCAATTTTGTATACATATGTTATATATATTTTCTTTCTTACTACACGTGTGTATTATATATGTATAAATATTTTGTACGACTAGTCAACAGCTACAGTTTCATTTATAATTATGCATATGTAACTTCGCCTGTCTTTTTGTTTTAGAATTATATCTATGTATATAAACGTTTATATTTTATTAATTTTTCTTTTACAAAAAGTTTTAATTATTTAAGAAATATTTTGTTGAAGTTTTTAACATTTTTTGAAAGTGCAATTTCCGAATCGAATTCTGATCCAGATGTATCCTAGCAGGAGATGATTGGTGAGTCAATGTTTACTTTGAAAACATGTGTGCGACATAACTATATATTTTTATTCGAATTGTTAACAGCTTCGAATCCAATTATTTCGAAACAATTTAATAATAATCTTCTAGTATTTACGTACGTAATTTTCTATGTAGAGAAACAATTAACTCACTTAAATTTCGACCCTGAATAAGTGTAGATAGCCCTTTTTAATATAGAAAAAGTAGCTGTCCTTATACTACTCGATTGTTAAAATTAACTATGCAGTAATTAGAATATAATATTAATATTGTGATTAAAAACATTGATAAGTGTGTACAAATATTTAGTAAGCTGTAGTGAATTGAATATGAATGAATGAATTTACGATTGTAGTTTAAAAAAAAAAATAAGAATAATATATATTTCCTCTATAGGTTAAATTTATTCATAATTATCTCTTAAAAAACATATTAAAATAAATAGTTTAATTACTATAATTATATAGGAATATCATTAATTTTTAAAGTAGTAATATCATAGTTTAGAATGACTTTTAAGTATGATTAATTTTGTAACAATTTATAATTTATTTGAAAAACTTATTATTATTATTGTTCTTTTACTTTGTTAAGAATTGATATTTGTAGAAAAAAAATTGAATTTTAAATTATTTATTTCTATTTTTCTATCTCGCGTGTATCATTTGTCCACTTATAAAACTAGAAACAGGTTCTCTCCTAACAGTTATCAACTCAAGGTTTCAAAACTATTTGATTGTGCCATTCTCTCCATGTTTATTGCACAAGTTCTTTGTTAGGAAGTTCATCTAAATTAAAAAAATGTCTTTAAAGTAAATGTATCGTTGAAATAATGTACACTTCGAATATGTTTCTAATGCATAATTCTACCTTAAACTTCTCTTATTTAATAATAAACCATGCTCCTTTATATATTGTTTTCGCAAGGTAAGTCATGACTTTGACACTTTAATATATTTTTTTCCCTATAAGAAAAATTATAGTGGTTATAAATCTAACTGCTGCTTATGAACATTAATATACATTCATAATAATGCGACTATTCATAATTATGTATAATACATTTTAATTTTAAATATTAACACTAACTGCCGTTAACTAGTTCATTTATGCATTTAAATCCGTGTTTATATAGTTGAAAATTGATTTATTTAAATGTAATTTATTGATTAATTGTTTAACAATATGGTACTGATTATTTAACTCAATAATCAAAGTGAAAGCGATTTGTTTTTATTTTATTTTTTTGAAATATGAAATTGATTTTATTTTTAAAAATAATCAGTTTTTAATTGATTGTTAAACTTTCCAGAAATACAATAATAATCATCTAACTTTCTAGCAATGCAATTATAATTATTGCTGGAAAGTTATTTAACTTTCCAGCAATACAGAAAAAAAATTTCATTTTTTTTTCTTAATTTAAAAATAATTACGTAAAAAAATTTCATTTAAAAACATTTATTGCTTAACATTAATTTTAAGCAAAGAAGTATTTTTTAAAAATATTTTTCTATACAAACAATATGCTAATAAGATATCGCTTAGTTAAAACTAACATATATAATAGAAAAATAAAAATAGAATTATTTTATAAGATTAATCGATTTAATCTATATAAAATATTCTTTTAGAATAAGAAGTTAAACTCATTGTTAATTCCATTAAATTAAAAAATAAAAAAAGTTTAGTTCTCATCCTGCAGCCATGTTGGGTAACATGGTACGAGATTGGTAATCATGTAATTAGGCCTACTAACTAGAAAAGAGAACGCTTAACAAGGATGTTGTTCATCCATTTACAAGAGAGACGCACTCAACGGGAATAATAATAGTCAGGAATGACATTGCACTGATTTATACGCGAATGTGAAATGTGAATAAATATCATACGAAAGTATGAGAGAATAATATTAAATTAATTAATTTTTTTTTTATTATAGTTAAATTTTAAGAATTTTATTTTTAAAAGTGATAATTAGGTGAAACGAACTGTAATTGAATTGCAAAATGTTTTCATTGTTTAATTTCTAAAGGCCTACACACAGAACAATAAGAAGAAACATCAGCATCATTGCTTATTATGAAATTTCGGTCAATGACATTACTCTTCACATATAAATTCTTTATTTTGACTGCTTCAAAATTAGAATAGATTATTTTTTAAGGCTTTGTTTTCATATGACTCGTATTCTTATAAGTATAGAAGCTCATCAATAAAGCTAATGTTAGACAAGAAGGGATGGCTTCTTCCTAAAGAGAGCCTCACATAAAATACACCCTGGAGCATTAACGAAAAAATTAGACATATGATACAGAATAAGGATTGTTTCGTATGTAAAATCATTTATTATTTTAAGTATAGTAAGTTATAATATACGAAAAATATATAGTAAAATTTATTACCTAAACTATAAATATTAAATATTTTAAATTTCATTTATTACTAGAAAAATATGTTAATAATGGACAACACCCTAGATATAAAATTTTATTGTTTTCGTATCGTAAACAGTATGCGTCATTACAACTATTTATATAGGATGTTTATCCAACATTATAGAAATTCGTAAAAAAAAAAAAAAATAAAATACATAGCAATCTTGTATTGTTTCTTAGAAAAATATTCCCTTCTATAGAATAACATATACACTGTATAAAAATTAATATAAAATTATATTATTCTAGGAATATTTTAAAATAATATCTACATTTATCTTCGAGTTTTCGAACTCTTTATGCACGTATGTACATAATAATAGCAAGCTATTTCTCAGTACTGTGTCTCACTGGTACATTGCGGTTTGCTGATTCAGCTTTCAGGCAACGTGCTGTTTTATGTTTGTTTGCTAATAACAGTATTCTATAAATTACAAACTCGACTAGCTGTGTTCTATAGTAGTGATTGCTTCTATATAAGATTTGCTACGTAATTGGGCACTCCTCGTTTCGAATTTACATCGTTTACATTCACCCCCTTTTATTGTTATTAATTTTTTTTGTGTGTTTTACAATAAATTATACGAGAGATTTGTCTGTAGATATGTAACACTGTTAGTGTGTCTGTAAGGGGGGTGGTTTGTATGTTTTTGTGTGTATAACTTTTTAAATTTTTTTTAAAGACTCGACGTTACAATTTAAATTAGAATTTTAGTAACTATGTGTGCCACACGCTCTGTAGTTTAGTGGCCGACGTCGTGTTTGCCCAGCTGGTGCACGCAAAGTCTGTCAACTGTCTCGTTGCAATCGTACTGAGTTGGTGGAAGTTTTAGTACATGCAACTGCCATTCGTAGACAGTAGACAATGGCGGCTTCGTTTATGGAGAAACTTATTATTAGGACGAGTGTTTTACTTGTGCAATTGGCTTAGGATTTACAAAAACTGTGTTCAGAGTCATGTGCAATCGTAAAGAGGGAGGATACATACACGTATATGTCAACCTTCAAGCTACAGATATAGATATGTAGTACATAATTCCGAATCTATATCTGTAACAGAATCGATTCTCTACTTAGAGTTTATAATTTTTTAATTGTTATATGTATATATTGTATTGTTTTTTTTTATACCTAAAGTGCTTCATGTTGCTTCATCTTAGTGTATATAAAAGGTAAGAGTTCTGTTAATTATCTAAACTATAAAAGTGTAAAATTCTCGGTAGAGAAAATTATTTTTGAACGTCACCCGCTGTGGTTGTCTGAGTTTTGGAGGTGTAATTCTTATTCTAGATAGTGTCCTGCGGTGTTACAGTTGCTGTAGCAGCATCATAGACTAGCTGACTCATTGCTTCGGTCATTATAAAGAATAGTTACACTTTGAATCACTTTATAAAACTGTTTAGGTCATCGTCACCCCTTTTTTTTTCTATGATATATTAATGTTTATAACACACAAAACTCCAAATTTTCTAACGAAATTACGTAAATTTTAAACCCCTCGTAACTCTACAACTTTATAATTTTTGCANTTATTTTATTTTTTTTTGAGTTTGCTTCATTAAAACACACAAAACAATTATTAAAATTCTGAATAATTCGATACATAAAATAAATTTTTTTGGGTCTTGTTTTCGTACGAAAACAATTGATAAATTTATGTGTGTGTGTGTGTATATATATATTGAGAGGATTTGACACGGTTTTGTCACGCAGATTATGCCTTTTATCGTGTCATATAACTTTTATTTAATGTTTCCTTCTTTTATGTATAAAATATTCGTAATTAAACATCAGAAAAAATACATTTTCTCAAGGAAAATCGAGTTAAAATGTAACGTAATTCGTAATTTATGAGGGGGAATACGTAAGATTCGCGAGAGAATTGCTGTACTGTGTCGAGAATTTCGTTAAAATTTCATTAACAAGTGAAAGTTTTTTTGTATATTTTAAATAGAATATTCCATTTTAAACACTAGAAAATGCATTTTCTAGTGTTTAAAATGGAATATTCTATGTTACAAAACATAACAACCGTCTATAGATACGCCAGTTAGTAATTCGTCGGTGTAAATTGCCAAGTTTCCATTTCGGAATCTAAATTTTTGCTAGTATGAAGGATTGTGTAAATAAAAGACCATTTATAAACACTACCGACTCCTCTTCCAGCTGTATATTATGGAATGAGTTAATAAGCATAGAGTTGGCTTTATGCCAGAAGCTATCAAAAAAAAACACACACACACACACATTAGACATTGGTAGAGAGAATATTTAGTGTTAAAATTCTAAGAACGATTAAAAGTTATATATTTTTTTAACATGAATTTTAAGTGATTAACTTTAAGATAATCAAGAAATAAAACAGAAAAATCGACAATAATCAAGGACTTCGTTTAACTTCTCTAGTTACAAATGTCGGAGTCAACATGTCGTGCCCGTTGGGGGCCTCTACGTGGCTTGCCCTTGAGATCAACTATTCCCACGATCTGTAGTGAATTTGCGCTGGCGATGACGTCACATAGTGACCTCGGTTCATTCATAAAATCCATCGTATGC